GGTGTTTTTTTTTTTTTTTTTTTTTAAATAAAAACATAGTTATTTTACATTTTATTACATGCATTGGCATATCTAGGATTTTTTTCGTAGAAGGGAAGGCTGGTTTATTTATCGCTCATAAATAGCATATATCTTACAAATTGCTTTATTTTAAAGAATGTTCTTAGAATGTCTTTTTTTTCTAAGATTCTAATTTAAAAAAAATATATTAAATGTAAATCATAACTTTTCTTTTTCTGAAGATTATGATTATGATTTACAAAATTTTTAAATACAGTAATTCAAACAAAATATTATAGTAATTATGAATGGAGTAGTTATTAATTTATTAAAGCAGGTTTTGCTTTTTAATTCAAAAACCTTGCAAAAATTTTCTTTACATATTGGATACTTTATCAAAAGCTCTAACGAAAATTCTAGGAATTATGTACATAGTCGTAACGGGAGAAATAATATTTTATAAGATAATAAAAAATTTACTCAGAGTAAAAAATGAAGTTATACACTTTATAAAGAACAAAAAAAAAATAAATAAAACTTTTCGGAAGAAGAGTTTGAATTAATTGAATCCCTCACATATCCCCTACATCCATGATTACACCTAAATTATCAATTTTATGACAACTTTTTAAAGAAGAGCATACCTACAGTTTAAATATCTATAAAAGTTTATTATAGAATATTTAAAATAAAAATGTAAATAAGATATGGTGGTATAAAGATTCAAAATATTAAATTTTATTATTTTATTAAATTCTGTGGTGAATGCAGAGAATAAAATATTTTCGAATTCTGTTCTAAAATAATTACAATATTCTTACAATTCCTAAATATAAAGATAATGTTGAAATATAAAAAAATTAAAATAATAAATCTTTAATTCAATGAACACTAAAAACAAATATTTTTAATTTTCATAATTCTATTAAAATATTTTATTTTACGAAAATATATAGTATTTAATTGTATTTAATTGATATTACTCTAATCTTAGATTAAAATAACTAAGTACTTCAAAATCCTTTTTTCAATAAGCAATCTTGCATTATATATAATAAAATTTAATAACCTCGTTAATTATGTATGTTTGGAAGAACGAAGCAAGTCCTTTACTTAACCACAGATAGGGCCACCAAGATGGAGTGACTAAGTTGCCAAACCATTGATGTGCAAGTTTGTGTGCTACTGTCAACGCTACTTTCGTTTTCTGATATGTTGAATTGCTACTGTCATCGTAGATAATTTTTGTTTCACTAAAAAACACAATATTACATGATATAGTTATGTAAAATATTTCTGAATATGC